ACCGGACTTCAACTCCCAGAATTCCCCAGCCAGCATTCGCTGGCTGGGGAATTCTGGGAGTTGAAGTCCGGTCATCTTCAAGTTGCCAAGGTTGAGAAACACTGTCCTAAAGGCTCTTTTTGTGAAGGGGGCGGGGTTTCGGGAGGCCAAAAATGCTGTATTCACTATACAAGACGCACCCCGATTTTCACCCTCTTTTTTGTGGGAAAAAGGTGCGTCTTATACTCCGAAAAATACAGTAATTGTGGGACACTGGATGAATGAACTTCAATCCAAAAAAGATCCATCTGTTTCTGAAAGATTTGGATCTCAGATACTCCTCGCCTTACAACCACAATTGAGCCCCAAATTTATGTTGCTGAGATGTTTGTTGAGTGAAAGGTTCGCCATTTTATGACCTTTCTTGCCACAATTGCTAAGTGAATCACTGCAGTTATTAAGTTAGTCAGACGGTTGTTCAGTGAATCCGGCTTCCCCGTTTGACTTTGCTTGCCTGAAGGTCGCAAAAGGGGATCACATGATCCCCCGGGATGCTGCGACCGTCATAAGTACATGCCAGTTGACAAGCCGGCTGGGGAAGAGGCTGTTCAGGTGCGCGAGACGACCACGTCCTGCCTGTCAACGAATCCTCCGCTCTGGACTCGACTTGCTTCTGTCCTCAGGGTTAATGGCCCTGCAACTGGATATGCACGGGAGAGCAAGCTTGGGTTCGGCCCGCCGCGGAGGCTTCTCTGATTGGCCAAAGTGCCCGTAGGGAGAGGCGCCATTGTGGTTGTTATGGCGCCCTCTAGGCGTGGCCAGGAGACCTTCGATGGCTCAAACCTAGCCAGGATTTCCTCCACTTGAGTAATTATACATAGTCCTCGAGGTACGACCACAATTGAAGTAAAAACTTTTGTGGTTAACCGAGACATTAATTAACTCAGTTCTGCCCCGTTTTACGAATTTTCTTGGCACAATTATTAAGTGAATCTCTGCAGTTGTCAAGTTAGTCCCACGGTCGTTAAGTGAATCCGGCTTCTCCATTGACTTTCCTTGTCAGAAAAGGGGATCACGTGACCCCGGGACAATGCGACCGTCATAAATACGAGTCAGTTGCCAAGCATCTCACTTTTGACCTCGTGACCATGAGGATGCTGCCATCGGTCCTAAGTGTGAAAAATGGCCATGCCCCCTTTTTTTCCCAGCGTTGTTGTAACTTCGAATGGTCATTAAACGAACTGTCATAAGTCAAGGACTAATTAATTAATGTGTGCAGAATTGTGCAATTTGCCAGATGCATTTAATAAATACATCTGGCAAATTGCACAATTCTGCACACATTAATCAATTTTTAAAAAGCCAGCTAGTCTCTCCAGCCTTGTGGGGCCTTCCGTGAAGCTGCAATTCCACCGAAGTTCCATCTGATTTAAGTCATTTCCCTCCCTGCTCACCTCCCCCCAAAAAACCCGGGGCTTCTCAGAGATAAAATACCTTTTCCTTCCATTGAGCAGATCATAAAGTTGCCCGCAGTAGATCTCATAAAAGCTGATCCAGACATGGAGATCTTTCCTAGCCGGAGGCGTTTCCAATTGCTTGAAGATCTCTTTAGCAGCCAAGGCGTAGAGGCCGGGGGTTTTAAGAGTGCCAAACATGGTGTAAGTCTTCCCTGCCCCTGTCTGTCCGTACGCAAAGCAGGTGGCATTGCCCCTAAAACCAAGGGAAGATTAAAAATAAAAACAACAATAAAGCTTCTAGCAATAGCAGTAGACTTATATACCGCTTCATAGGCCTTTCAGGCCTCTCTAAGCGGTTTACAGAGAGTCAGCATATTGCCCCCAACAATCCGGGTCCTCATTTTACCCACCTTGGAAGGATGGAAGGCTGAG